ACTCCAGATCACTAGAATTCTGGAGACCCGACTTTGGTAATAACTAGCTGTATCACCTTCAACTTCAACCTTCCAGAATGGTCATCTGCAAAGAAAAGAGGGTGGACCAAACCCTTTTTTAATTATAAGCTGTTGTCTAGCATTAGCTGGCTATAAAATCAATTTGGGGGACAAAACTCAGCATTTTTTTAATGAAATCAGGTGGAGTAGAAATATCTATGTGTATTGTAGGTAGCAGTGTGCTGAAAATGCTCAACAACTGGCTATACAAAGGGAAGAAAAAAGGCCCTAAACTATACCATTTGCTGATTTCCCTGGTATGAATACCCTCACCCCACGGCCAGCTTCAAGCTACCAGCATGATGGCACTGAACGTGGAGCTGGGTGGGAAGAGGGAAGCACACTGCTTCTGCAATGCCACATGATGAGCCAGTTCCAGCAAGGTCCTGAAAAGGTAAGTATTGTTTTGCCAAACTTTGCGTGCATGCACTTGAATGTGGGGGGAGGAGGGGTTGAATCAAGGTATAAAATGTGTTTCTTACTGTAAGTCACAGTCAAAACAATTTAATAAATGTTCAGCTAAACAATCTCCTAGTCTCTTTCATATGTCCTACACAATGCAATATATCTTATTCTTGGTTATATATGTAATTTCTTTTCCACCACAATTTATTGCTCTTCAAAAATAAGAGTTACAGGGGCACCTGGGTGGCTCAGTGGGTTAAGCCTCTGCCTTCGACTCAGGTGGTGATTTCAGGGTCCTGGGGCATCGGGCTCTCTGCTCAGTGGGGAGCCTGCTTCCCCCCACCTCTCTGCCTGCTGCTCTGCTTACTTGTGATCTCTCTTTGTGTCAAATAAATAAAAAGAAACCTTAAAAAAAAAAAAATAAGAGTTACAGAGATGTCTATTGATATCACCAGAAGGCAACTTACAGGGAGTGGAAATTTGGTTTAGGAAGTATCAGAAAAGGGCCAAGGTTCTCAGCCTTTGTTCAGGCTCACACATCTGAGGGACATAACACACTCCTACTAGTAGCAAGTGGCTCACTTAGCAAAGAGTTGGCAGGACAAGGGAAGAGGAAGAGGAAATATATAGTATAAAAAAAAAATCCAAGTAACTGTGACATTTGTGCCCATGCCCCACTCCACCGAGAACTCGGGTACAGAGAAAAACAGTGCTGAAAAAAAAAGTCAATTTCTGTATCTGATGTTTCCCAGACAATTTCTCCAGCAATTAGCCTGCATCCCCAAACAAGATCTCCATTACTAAGAATTCTCTACTAGAATTAAGTTTCTGCCGTGGACTACAGACATGTACTTGTTGAATTTAGAATAAACAAGGGAAAAAAAACAGCACAGCCAACAGTTGTTAGACTTGACATTCTGAGAAAATCAGGCTTTTACTGGGGGGGGAGGAAAAAACCTTTCTTACTTCTTATTTAAGCTTACTAAACTGGGTAAGGAGAGACGTTTCTTGAATATATTTTTGGCTGTTCTATGTCTATCACAACAACACAGTCTGTAACCAGATTTTTCAGAAGTGTTTATAAAAAATTGTGTTTTCTATTTTTAAAGCTATTTAGAAAACAAGAAGGCTCAGAATTTCAGATAGACTACTAATTGTAGCCCACATCTAACTCCAAATCAACTAAGTATATGCCTAGAACTTTCCAAGGAAAATCCCCAAAAATTACACCAAAAAATACCAAAAGATGATAAAAAGGAGTCAGCATGCTATACTCAAACAATTCTGGCATCCTAGCTACTGAATGAGTGCAATACGGAAAATAAGTGAAATATGAAAAAGTAAACGCTGAGATACAAATTCTGCTAAATTCCATTAAGTCTTCCTTATTAGGGGTCCACTGAGGTTCACATACTTATACCCAATACAAACATTAACCATAAACTGAAAATTAATTACCACTCTGAAAAGCCACGAGTCAAGTCAAGCAATGTCTTCCTCCATGTTCACAATATTAAACCTCTCCTCTAAAATATGAGTGGGTTTTATCATAACTCAGATTCAAGTCTGTACTTTCTCTGCCTCTACTTTATTGGTGCCAAATATCATAAGACTATCTCCATAAGAAGTTCCTGAGCTATCTTTGCAGTACCAGAGGCTCATATAGCCTTGTGCTACTGGTCATGCTCAGACCCAGTGGCTGAGCCATTTATACAAGGCAAGAACTACATAGAGGTAGCAACTCATTACAACTTGTGAGACAGAACAAAACAAAACCAAAAAAAAAGCTCTGTGCCTGAGAATACTATAAACTAAAGTATCTACTCCATTCTCCAAACACCCTCTTTCCAGCCATAATCATCCCTACACCTCTTCAAGACAACGGTAGGATGGAATGCAGACCCAGTTCTACACCCCCAATGCAACAAATTTTTGCTACTTAGCTACTATGCTCTTTAAAGTTCATCTCTTGAAGCTTGGCTATCTCCCACTCATAATATTTTTTCTTGGCACAACAAAATTCCTTCTTTTAACTACTCCATTAAGCATGGATAAAAGGACTTTCAGCTTTAATGCTGTATCATCTGAGTTCAAATAAATGTACAGTAACTGAATAAGTTGAAATCTGGGTTAAAGCAAAGAAAAAAAATTTAATTATAACTTTTTAGAAGTCAAATTGTACACTGGTGAGTAAACATGAAAACTTTAGTTTCATATGCCTTATAAAATTCTGTCATTCAAAGAAAAACAGCATAAAAACTACTAGAGTGAGGGGTGCCTGGATGGCTCAGTCATTAAGCCTCTGCCTTAGGCTCCAGTCATGATCCCACAGTTCTGGGATCGAGCCCCACATCGGGCTCCCTGCTCTGAAAGAAGCCTGCCTCTCCCTCTCCCCTGCTTGTATTCCTTCCCCCCCTGTCTCTCTCTGTCAAATAAATAAATAAAATCTTTAAAAAAACAAAAACAAAAACAAAAACTACTAGAGTGAAAAGACAATTATCTTAATCATGAAACATTAAAAAAGGAACAAAAACTCACAGAATATCAAAACTATAATAAATAGGGCTCCTGGGTGGCTCAGGGGGTTAAGCCGCTGCCTTCGGCTCAGGTCATGATCTCAGGGTCCTGGGATCGAGTCCCGCATCGGGCTCTCTGCTCAGCAGGGAGCCTGCTTCCCTCTCTCTCTGCCTGCCTCTCTGTCTACTTGTGATCTCTGTCTGTCAAATAAATAAATAAAATCTTTAAAAAAAAACTATAATAAATAAAAGTTCCTATCAAATAACTCAGGCCAAAAACAAAACAAACTTCATACATGTATTGTCACACCTTCTCATGCTGGGTGGTGTGGTGTATTCACCATGGGTCCCAATACCACTGGGATCTACTACCTTGTTTCCAGCTTTCTAAAATACAGTGTAGGCTATATAATATGTTCACATATAAGCACAACCCAACTACACCCACTTCTCCCCAGATGACTTATTAATACATCCTATCAGAGCACACTTTGAACTGATTTAATATAGACCCTGAGATTCTCTCCCAGTCTCAACTAACTCACCAAGCAGGTGAGCCTTTAAAGACAAATGGATCAAATTCACCTGGTCTTTCTCCCCTGCAATTTGGTTATCAGTTTCCTATGGGACTCTACTGAGATAATGAATCACAGGCCAGTTTTCCAGCTCTAGCTGCCTGTGGACCAATATTTTCCACGGACAAAATCCACTTCCAATCTGACCACAAGCAAACTTCATTTTTGTAGTTTCTGACATCATCGTATTGGATATTCTACAGAAGTACAGCAGAAGCTAAATACGAACACTACTAGAAGAAAAGTCAGAGCGTTTTCATGAAATTGTGTTTTCAGAACTGCAAACAAGCAACTATCTACCTCCCACCAAGTAAAAGAAAATTTAAATGTATTAAAAATCCCTAAACCTTCTCGTACCAAAAATGCAGGCCTTGAAATCAGTTTCCAGTCAGCGCTGAAATCTCTCAAGCAAGCAAAAGTTCTCCTTACCATTAATTAGTATAGTGAGGTTGGCGTTTCTCCTCACTTGCAGGAAACCTTCAACTCTGCAAGGAACCACCTACATTTTGGTAAAATCTCTAAGATAATCCTGAGAGGTACAAGGAGAGTACACAATTACCTGCACACACTGCCCTGAGATCAGAAACAAACCCTGTCAGTCCAGTCCCCCACCATCCAACCACCTTCTGGGGCCGGGGGCCCCTTTCCACATGCTGACGCACCGCCCAGCCCTGCACCGCTGGCGACCAGTGCAAAGTACTAGCCCAGTCTCAGAAACTTTGACTCAGTTATCAGGACACTGAGCACCCACACCTGACAGAGGACTGTCGTGGCCAGTCAGTCAAGTCCGAAGCGGGGCATTCCTTACAGGTAGAGATCTGCCCAGGACGCAGCCCATCCCAAACTGCAAAACCACAACCATCAACAGCAAGAGCCGAGCAAAGTGCCGGGCGGAGGCAGGGGGAGCGCGAGGGCGAGACGCGGTCACGAAGGGAAGCCTGAGTGTGGGTTTAAAAAAAAAAAAATATATATATATATATATACACATATATATACATATATATGTATGTATATATACATATATATGTATATATACATATACATATATATATATATCCTAACCACAAGCCCCCCGGACGCAGGGCTGCTGAGACCGCGAGCCCGGCAGCAAGCAAGGCGCAGCGGCGGAGGCGGCGGCAATGTCAGGAGGGCACAGCCGGGGGCAAGCGCCCAAGTACCCACCCCGCCCCCAGGTGAGGGGCGCCCCGACTCCGCCCGGGCCAGGAAGAGAGACCAGCAGGCAGAGCCGTGTGGTCCAGGAAGCGACCGACAGTCCCGAAACCCCAGTGCCCTCCTCCCCGCCGTGCTCTCGCATCTAGTCCTCGGCCCGGCCCCCAAGTCGACCCTCCCCCGGCTCAGCCCCGGCGCCAACACCCCCGGCCCGGCCCGTGGCTCCTGGCCGCCCGGCCGCCCGCCGGCCCCTCGGAGGCCGCCCTCGCCTCACCTCCTCACGTCTTCGCGGACAGGGCCGGAACAACTCTGCCAGGCTCCCGCGTCTCACCCGCCGCCCGGCGCTCTGCGGCCGGGCCTGTCCCGTTCACTCCGCGGCCGCCAGAGCCCTGGGAGGGCGGAGGGAGCAAGGCGGAGGGAGTAGAGAAGTCGGGGGGGGGAGGAGGACCGCCCGGCAGGAAGAGGCGAGGGAGGGGGCGGGCCGAGGAGGAGGGGGTCGGGAGCGCGCGCGTCCGGGCCCCTCGGCGCGGCGTGCGCGCTCCTGAGGGCGGAGGCGTCTTCTCTGCCTTCGGGGGTGGCGCGCACGCGCGTACACGTCCCTGCCTGGCGGTGGTTGGGGTGGGAGACCTGGGGATGGGGACCGGGGAGTGAGGACCAGGCAGAACTCGGGTTGTCAGAGTGGAGACCCGGGAAAGGGCGGTAGACGGTCGCCGTCCCGCAGAACCTTCCGGAGGGGTAGCCGAGCCGGTGGGGCCGGCGAGTTCGGGCTCGCTGAGGGGCGTCCTCAAGCCCAGGGCGGGGTGGGCTGACGGGCCTGTCCAGAGGTCAGAGTTGTTAGATGGTTCTAAGTTTGGGGCGATTGTGTTCCTGCTCATAAACCGGTTTACATACTTTCATTCTTATAATGCCCAGTAATCCCCAAGAGACTCGCCGTAAAGAATACTAACTTTTCTCGCCAGTTACTGTTAGGTGCCTCTTTCGAAAGTGCGTGCTGGTCAAGTGCTCCCTTTCTTGTTCGTTCTGTGGGAGATTGAAGACGGAAAACACCTGCTATGTATTTCTATTAAGAAAACTCAAATCACGCCGTCCTTTGGGGTAGTAAATTTGGGAGTACAAATTAATAGAGATAAACCAACTCTTTTTCCTTTACAAATATTGTATATTGATCCTTGAACTGTCAGTATCTTCCTTCATAGAGCCGGCAGCCAGAAATGAACTGTAAATTTTCTTAATTTCCATAGCACTTTGTTTCTATAGGTTTGAGGCACCGAATATATTCAACCCTATCTAGGTAAATCTGTGCGGTATTTTCTCTCCTAGAGAATCCTTGAGGACCTGACTTCATTCATTTTTGTATCTTCCACAATGCCTAGCATAGAGCCTGACTCCTAGAAAGTACTCCATGCATGTAATTGTATGAGTAAATGAATATAGTGTGTTAAGAGTTAAGTGTATGTCCAATGATTTAAGCTCTAGAATGAATGCTTTAGTTTAAAATCCTCCCTTCTGCCCCACTTCAGTTCCCCTGCACTCATTTCCCCAACTAGATCCAAAAACTACTCTGAGAAATACGACATTAGTCCAGAGGGCCCTCTCTCTTTCTCTTTCTCGCTCTCTTTTTCTTTTTCCTGATTTAAATGTCTAGAGATACTGGGACAGATCAGGAGTGTTGCAACTATCTTGTGTTTCCCCTATCTTCTGGGCTCCTTCCCTGAAGGTCCTCCAACTTCTGTATTCCAAGAGTCTACCTACCTCTGGGACTGACTCAATAAATGTCTGAATTTTGATATTTAATAATATTAGGGTTGGAATAACTCAAATTATCTGTAGCTATTAATACACCAACAAGTACCTATTCATAAATAAGCCGACAAGTACTGAGTCTCTACTAAATTACTAGAAAAGTTACACTGGGCACCATAAGGAAATCAACAGATGAAAAAGATGTAAGTTTCCACCTTCCGGTATCTTTTAACTGGAGAGAAGCTATTTGACAAAAAGAGCAAACTCTGTCGGGCGGCCACAGGTTACATCTCTAATCACCAGGGGTCATTGAGTAAAACTGAACTGTTACAGTAGAGCTTAGATAAAAGATGTCGCAAGAGAACCTAGATAAGAGACAAGTCCCAAGAGAACCTAGATAAGAGACAGTGAAGGTGATTTGGTACAAACTTACCCTCATTCTCTGGAAAACAATTCTAAGTACACGCCAAAGATTTCATAACAAAGCATTGTTCATATAATGCACGCTGCTCACTTCTCTTCCCACGATGACTTCTTTTGCAATAAGCATATGCTAGCAGCCCTAATCCTTGAAAGGACTGAAAGCTCTCGCGTTGGAGAAGGTTATAAAGTGTTCTAGCATGGCCCATAACATGATAGAAACTGGTGGCCTACGTCCAGATCTAACCCACAAATATGTTTTGTTTGGCCTGCATGGTGCTTAAACAAATTAGCCAAAGTTAAAATTTAAAGCCAGAAGATATCAAATGCATTGCGGCTTCTCTTTAAAAGGCAAATAGGGGTCACCTGTGTGGCTCAGTTGGTTAAGTGTCTGCCATCACCTCAAGTCCTAATTCCGTGATCCCAAAACTGAGCCCCTCTATCTCAGGTTGTATGCTCAGCTCTCTGCTCTTTAAAAAAACTGGAGATCTGGTGACAGTGGGCCTTCATTTTCGGGTGGTGACAATCAGCCACCTATAAGACATTCATTCTCTCCATTCTCAAAGTTTCTGTATTCCCTATTTTACCTTACACTGTTTCCCTCATGTGGGTCTGCATCTCCCAATTTAAAATTTCATAATATAAAAATCAGGAAACATGGGGAGGGGGGGTGGGAGGTTGGGAGCGCCTGGTGGTGGGTATTAAGGAGGGCATGTATTGCATGGAGCACTGGGTGTGGTGCATAAACAATGCATCTTGGAACACTGAAAAAATAAAAAATAAAAAATAAAAAGATTCCCAGAAAGCCCTGAAAATATGGGAACCTTTAGGTTGGTATGGACACCTAAAAGGCAAGAGTCATGTTGAATTCATCTTTGTTTCCCTGGTGCCTATGTCGGCTGGAGTGGTGGATAAGGAAATCAATTAGTAAATATTTTATACATAAAAAAAAACAGGAAAGGACATACACATTGAACAAAATGGAAGAGTTTAAATCACAGTATTTAATGGTGTGAAATATTATATTTCTCTTATAATGGGCATTATTAGCTGACTCCCCAGCATGCATTTCTAACCCTCTGCAATTGTGAGGCAGCTAATGATTTGAACAGAAAAGGCCCAGCTCCAGAGGTGTGGGCCTTAATGGATGTCCATAACCAGCCTAATCTGGTCTCCACCTAACTCTCAGTGTTCAAGGATCTAATGAAGATCTAAATTGGTCCAGTCCTAAGGGAGGCCAACTCTCAGGTTTATTAGCAAAAGAAATGTGCTCTGTCTCTTACTCTGGCTGGTGTGATAGGTGGATATAAGTCCAATAGTTACTGTGGCCACTTGGCTACTGTGAGGGAAACCAGCTGAGGATAAAGTTAACACAGAATTGAAGAGCTCAAATCTATGTTGAAGCCTACCCCTTCCTCCAGATTTAGTAAGTTTCCTGAGCCAATAAATTTTCTTGGCTATTTTAAAAAGTTCAAATTTGGCTTTTTTTAATTGCAGCCCAAGTTAAGTTTTCTGTACACATTACAAAAGAAAAGTCATTATCTGAGTCTTCTAAGCATACATACTCAATGAGGTGAATAGGTAAAAACCTAGCTGGTAAAATTGTAAAGGGTCTCTCTCTCACTAGATTACTTGATGCCCGATAAGCCAACACACTTTGTTTTTTCTTAACTTTTACTTAAATCTTGTGCCCTCTTTAAGTCTACTTTCCCGGGGTGCCTGGGTGGCTCAGTGGATTAAAGCCTCTGCCTTCGGCTCGGGTCATGATTCCAGAGTCCTGGGATCGAGCCCCACATCGGGCTCTCTGCTCAGCAAGGAGCCTGCTTCCTCCTCGCTCTCTCTCTGCCTACTTGTGATCTGTATTTGTCAAATAAATAAATAAAATCTTTAAAAATAAATAAATAAATCTACTTTCCCTGAGAAGAGGACTTCATTCCAATCAGAAAACTTCCATAAATGAACTTATCATACAGTTTTGTTTTGTTTTTTTAAAGATTTTTACAAATTTTTTATTTGACAGACAAAGATCACAAGTAAGCAGACAGGCAGGCAGAGAGACAGAGGAGGAAGCAGGCTCCCTGCCAAGCAGGGAGCCTGATGAGGGGCTCGATTCCAGAACCCTGGGATCATGACCCGAGCTGAAGGCAGAGACTTTAACCCACTGAGCCACCCAGTCATCCCCATACAGTTTTTCAGTGGTTTTTAACTAGTGGGAAGATTAGGAAAGACACCAGGAACCTGAGAGAGTAAAGGTGTCATAGAGGAGACTAGACATACAGAAGACAAACTTCTCTATTTCAGTTTTATGTATTGCTGAAATTCAGAATAATCCAGGCAAATCATACTAAGCCTATATGATAAAGCAAATTTATATTAAAATCACACTTTTAAGACTGAGTACGAACAAAGTCAATGAATATGTAGTGATTAGAAAATTTCCTCAGCAGTGGAGGAGGTAGGCAAAGCCATAAATGTCTCTCTGAAAAAGAGCTAATGTACAACTTTTATAATTTGATAAGAAATAGAACATGAGCCAAAAACTGCTTTTCCCATACCTTGTGCCAAGCATCCAACATCCATCTTACCATCAGAGCCCTTTACTTTGGTCTAGGGCAGTGATTCTCTTTAATATGTAACAAAATCACCCAGGGACTTTATTAGAAAACACAGACCTCTATGCTCAAACCCTAAGAGATTTAGGAGACCCAGGAATTCTTTTATTTTAATTTTTTATTACAAAAATGTTTAAGATCATAAAGAACTAGAAAGAATGGTATGAGTCTTCAGATCCCAATCACTCAGCTTGAAAAATTACCAACACATGGCCAATCTCCTCTTCCCCATCCCCCTTGTGGATTTCACCCATTAATACTTCATCACATAGTTCTAAAAGATAAGAATTTTTTCTTTTGCAATCAATAAAATCCAGAATGTGGCAAGCTCTACAGGACAGACCACCAATTTCTTCAACAAATAAATTGCATACACAAAAATGTAAAGAAGGATGTCTTGAACTTGCTTGGATATCTTGTTTCTAACAGCTTCCTGAGGTATAAAGGCCATACAATAGGCTGCGCTTTATTTATTTATTTATTTACTTACTTACTTACTTATTTCCAATAGAGTTAATATAGTGTTATATTAGTTTCAGGTGTACAACATAGTGATTTAAAAACTCCATCCATCACCTGGTGTTCATCATGACAAGTCACTCCTTAATCCCCATCACCTATCTCACCCATTTCCGCCCCCCCCCCCCCCGACACACACACCACTGCCCCTC